ACTCAACAGCCAGTAAGAAAATGGGCATCTCAGATTTACCACGTTGGTGAATTCTGCCAACAACCACATGAGCTTGGAAGAAGACCTGTGCTCCAGAAAGGACGCAGCCCCGGCGACACCTTGGCTGCAGCCTTGTGAAACGCTGAGCAGACCAGCCACACCATGCCCACACTTCTGACCTGCAGGACTGTGAGCACTCTGTAACATTTCCCAGACTGTATCCAGTAAGTGCAAATAAAAAGGAACGAGTCCTGAGAGAACGTGAGGAGACAATTCTCCATGGGTCGCTGACATTTCTGCACAACCACGGGTGAGGCCCTGCCTGTCCTTTTTTTTCAGACTGTCCCTTCAAGGATGTTTGAATAGTGAACGTTCTTGGAAGACAGAGATAGTGTCTCCCTGGAGCAAGGGGCAGGCATGTTTCCTGACCAGTACAATAAAGATGTTGGTTCCCTAAGCTCAAGGTTCCTCTCCTATAATGCAACCCACTGAGTCCGCAGGTGTCATCTCACCCTCTTCATGACTCCTGGTAGAGACTGGTTTGGGGAACCTGTGCAGAAATGCTAACACTCTGGCTACTGCTACTGAGTACTACTCTGGGCCTTGTCTCTGACCTGGGAGCCTCGTGTCTTCTGCCAGCTTTCACAAACCTGAGACAGGATCACTTGTTAGCTTGTCAGTAGGGTGAAACTCAGACCTCTTCCCACAGGCCAGGAGAATAAAGTACTTGATAATCAGATAAAATTTTAATATTATTAATGGGATAGAGGAGGGTCAGCAGACTCCAGCCCATGAGCCAAAGCCAGCCTGATGCCTGTTTTTGCATGTTCCACGAGCTAAGAATAGTTTTTATGTTTTAAAAGGGTTGTTATCGAAGGATCTATTTATCATCCTTGATTTTGCCTCTTGGCGCGCAAAGCTTGGAGACTTACTCTCTGGCCCTTCGCAGAGGAAGTCTGCTGCCCACGGTACAGGTGCTCGCCCACGTCCGCTACGTTTCAACAGCTTGGGTCCCTGATCTTCCACTGCTTTGCCCTATCCCCTGAGTTGGAGCACTTCACAAAGCCTGGATGGAGAACAGTCTGTGCAGGCAGGTCTGCAGTGAGTGAGACCATCTGTCTCAAAACATCTAAACAGATTCTTCCCAAGTTGCCTATATTAGGGTGATAAATTCTGGTCATGAAACATATCTTTGGGCTGCTGCTGGCTATTCTTCTGGAAGAAGTAGTTCAAGTTTGAAAGACTCCCTTTCAAAGGAGGAATCCCGTGGGCCAGCAATGGTCATAGGAAAATCATGAGTGCTGTTCCCATCTGACTCTGCTTGCTTGGACTGGTCCTGGCAGCAAGTGCTGGGCTCCCTGACAATTCTTCAGGGCATCCCAATCGTCTTCCTTTTCCAAAGAATGTTTCTTACCACATAAAACAGCTCCCTCTCTCCTCCCCAATACAAAAAAACAAAAAGACATCTGCTTAAGATGGACAAATGGTGATACATGACTGCGCGGGGCTGCTGCAGCCCGCGGGGAGTTGGAAGCGCTCTTCCAACTGCAAGAGGCAGTAACTCCCCGACTAAATGGGCCCAGCGTCGCTGCTTCCTGCACTGTATTTTAGCAGTTATAGGCTAGACTCCCTGAGCTCCAGTCCCGGCCTTAACCTGTCTGGCCTCGGTTGTCGCGTCTTTAAAACGTGAGTGAGAAGTACCCCCTACCTCACAGGGTGCTGGTGACGGCAGAGGGGACCATATATGTGAAGCCGTCACAATATTACCCAGCACAGTGCTATTATCATTTTCTAGGAACGACAAAAGCAGCATTGATTTGGGTTAGGAAGGCAGAGTAAATCTGTGAAGACTATTTGGAGTGTTTCTCACCACAACCCTTCCATTTTCATTCAGCAAACTTTTTTTTTTTTTATTGTCTACGATGTACCAGGCACTGGGCATCAGAAGACTAATAAGACATACTCTCTGATCCCAAGATACAAGGAGTCATTGGCAATATGAATTCATTCATTCAGCAAGTACCTTAAACCTGGGGCCGACAGTCCTCTGTGGAGGCAGACATGAGCCAAACAAATCATTACAAACAAGGATCATGAGAGTCTCCAATGGAGACCTTCCTGGCTGTGCAGGGACGGTCAGAGAAGGCCTCGCTAAGGAAGGGATGTTTAAGCTGAAAATGGAATACGCATAGGAGAAAAGTGCTTTGGAGGAAGGAAGAGCATAGGAAAGAAGGTGGACAAACTGCACGGGCAAAGGCTCTGTGGCAAGGAGGAGTGTGAGATTCAGACATGGAGAGGCCAGAGTGTGTGGAGGGCAGAGAACAAGTCGGGAGGGCAAGGGGCTGGAGAGGCAGTCAGGAGCCAGATTACACGGGGCTTGGAGCCAGACAGAGTTAGGAAATGAGGATTAACGCACAGAAGTGACACGATCTGGTTTGTATTTGTAAAAATACGCTCTGCATAGAAGGGACTGCAGTGGACAGAAATAGGAAGCAAGGAATCAATTTCAGTAGTCAATTCCATCAACAGTCAATTCTGAGGTCAGAGCAACAGGATTGGCTGATAGGTTTGATTCGATGTTGGGGGTGAGGGAAATACGAAAACCCCTAGACTTTTGGATGAAGGCACTGGGTGGTTGGTGCTGCTGTTCAGTGAGTTGGGAAAGGCTAGGGAGAAACATGTCTGGATGTGGGGGGAATCAAGTGTTCTGTTTTGGCTGTGCTAGGTTTGAGATACTTATTGGCCATGTATGTGGCAATGCCAAGTTAGATACTCAAGTTAGGTTCTGGAAAGAGGTCCAGGCTGGAGATACAGATGTGGGAGTCATCAGTGTGTCGTGGACCACATAAGGTCACCTAGAGTGTGTGTGGATAGAGAATGGGACAAGGAGAGAGCCCTGGGACACTCTACAATATTGTGGTCATACCCAGGAGATGAGCCAGAAGAGGAAGAGGGAAGGAGTAATGAGTGAGGTGAAGGAAAATAAGATGTTCCAAAAAGGGACTGGGCAACTGTGATGAGCTTGCTGATAAGAACAGAAGCCCATGACTGGATCTGGCAACACAGAGGTCTTGGGTTACCTTGTTAGAGCAGTCTGGAGGGAGTGGCGAGAACTGAAGCTTCACTGGGGTGGGGTAAGGAGAGATGGCCATGAGAGACAACTCTTTCATGAAGCTTCGTCATGAAGTGCAGCAGAAAAATAGGCAACAGTGTCTCAGGTGGAATCTTGAAGGATGAGCAGTAATTGGTCAAGTCAAGAGGTGGAGAGGCAGGCTCTCTAAAGAGGATGTGGGTACAGCATTTGCAGAGTGACTGGAGCAAGAGAACAGAAATGAAATGTGTGTGTTTTCTGTACAATATTTCTGGAAGTTCTAGAGTCGACCGTATGCTTTGATGTGCTGTCTTAGAGCAGCCTAGTTTAAATCCTAGGTTTTCCAGTTACTGGATTCCCTGTTAGAGAGACTGGGGTGAATGGCTGAGATAATCTGATCTTTTTTAGCTGATTGCTTTGAAAAGATAAACCTAGCTGATTGAGCAGCTCTATTTTTTTTTTCCTTTCTTATCAGCTAAAGTGGTTGAAATTCAAAGATTGGGAAAGGGAAGCTTGCTTTTATTCTAGGACATAACAGATTACTATATGGGGAAGGAAGATGGGATGAAAGAGGAGCAAGGAGCCAATTTAAAATCAGAGGGTAAGGGGCCTGCCCAGTGGTGCAGAGGTTAAGTCCGCATGCTCCGCTTCCGTGGCCCAGGGTTCGCAGGCCCCGTCTGGGCTCGCACCAACGCGCCCCTTGTTAAACCATGCTGTGGAGGCGTCTCATATAAAGTAGAGGAAGATGGGCACGGACGTTAGCCCAGGGCCATCTTCCTCAAGAAAAAAAAGGGGAGGACTGGCATCAGATGTTAGCTCAGGGCTGGTCCTCCTCACACACAATCAATCAATCAAATCAATCAATCAATCAATAAAATTAGAGGGTAGTACTGCAGACTGGATACTGGGAAAATGGGGGCCCGGGGAATAGAGACGAGGGGTGCGGCTGCCCTGAGGGAGATCCAGGTTCTCTGTGGTGACTTTAGCTGGCTTCTAGCCACAGCTGTGCCCCATATCGGCTCCTTGAGTTTAACAATCACTTATTTTTTTCCTGGAATTTGCTTTCTTTGCTGTAAAATATAAATTGTTTCACAAGACTGTTCTGGATGTCCAAGGAGACTGTAGCGCCAACCACGAGGCATCTGTGTGGTGCTCGAGGATGAATTTTACCTGGGCCCCGTGCACCTGGGAAACGGTGACGGCCAAGCATCCCCACCCTGTGTTCTGCAGAGAAGCCCCTTCCCCGTGCGACTCAGCGAAGACTCGGGACGCCCGTTCACCTAGGACAGGGCACACACTCCCGAGGCCCTCCGCTCAGGAACGAGCAGTGCACTGACCGGCGGGACAGACGGTCGTTCGCCCGCTCTGGTCCCGCTCCCCTCGCCACCGGGCCTGAGCGCCGGGCCGCCCCGAGCGGGGGACCAGGCACCTGCTGCCCAGCCCGCCCCGCCCT